TAACTTCTGGATTATTTACCCAATTTAACGGAAATCCACAAGAAATAGTAACTCGTAATATCAGATGATGGAATTTTTGATTTTCTGCAGTTGAAAGAGGCCGGCAAATCCATTTATCTAAAGGTCCATGATTTGACCATTGGGATGGAAGGGAAGATAAAGAAGAGCGGGATGAAACTGAATTTCTTCGTAATAATAGTTGTTGATGGATGAATCATTCGTATTTACTTCCATTAAATTATTCTTTTTCATGCCAAGAGCAAATACTTTACTTTTTTCATCATTATCATACGTATCATAAAAATTTCTACAATTTTTGAAATGAGTAATCAACCTTTCAGTTTTATCTATAATTGTTTTTAGCTCCAAACTATTTTCGCCAAGCTTTGTAAAGCATGCTTTACAATAATATAAATTGTTGTTTCTGCTCTTTTTATTTGTTTTAACGATATAATTTTTCAAGCTTTGAACCATTACAAAAGTTAAAAAAAATGTAAATCATGATTATCGTCATATATAAAATAATGCGTATTACTATAAATAGTATAATACATGAGATACGATAAATAAATATATGCATTCTTATCATTTATTACTTTGCGTCTTGCATCTTTGGTTCAAATAAAAAAAATCATTTAAAATTTTTTTTTTTAAGATACTTCATTCAAATAAACAATCTTAAATTCCATCCCATCTGTTACTAAAAAAAATGAAAAAACTCGTTCAGTATTATTTTTTAATTTAATATTAAAAAAAGTATTCTTTCATGCCCAAATGGCCCAACCTATTACAATTTACCTTCAAACATCCACATATATCTCAGAATCTGAAAGCTAGCATAACATTAAACAATAATTAACGCAATTTCTTTAAATAAATATTAAAGAAATATATAAGTAATATAACTTTGCACTTCATCATTCGTATTTACCTTAAAATTATATCTCACCTATTATAACATTGGATTTTCTTAAACCAAATGAATAAATATTATTAGTGAGCTGAACTTTATTTTTTTATTTCATAGGCAGTCAGTTCTTCAGATCTTTAGAGGCAAGTATCAATTAATTTTTTTTTAATTCATCTTCTTAATAAATGGTAGTTAATGTGGCTAATTTGTTATCTCACATTCTTAAAAAAGAAAAAGAAATGACATTAATATAATTTCTTTAATAATTATTAAAAAAATAAAATCTAACTCAAAAATTACCTTCAGTTACAACTTATGAAATATATCATTAATATATTTTGAACAATTAGAATAATTATATTTTTTCTTTTTTATTTAAAATTTTTAAATCAGCAGCAAAGATAATTAATTTATGATAATTTCTTAATATACACTAGTGTACGAAACACGGATCACGTGACAATAATTTGTCACCCATGTCACACCCCTATAGTTTTCCATTTTTACTATTTATTCTAGGGACTTAGAATTTTTTCAGTAGGAAAAACCTTATTTGTTACATATTATATGTCACGTCTACTAATTTCAGCCAAATTTTATAATTCCAGCCAAAAATTACCATAATTTCCAATTTTGGATATTAGAGTAACGTTACACAACCCAAAAAAAGGCAATTTTGTTTCTCCGTAAAAAATGAAAATTCGTTACACAAATTTCCAAAATAGGAAATTTTTTATGCAGATCACCGAAAATGATAATAATCACGTGACCCGTGTTCACACACGTAGTGTACAAATAGAAATAGTCTTAATTTATTATGTTAAAACAGATAGTACAAAAATAAAATATAGTTCATTATTGATACAGGAATAATAAAAAAATAGTTAGAAAAAAATAAAATAAAATAGTAGTTTGGAAAATCAGAGATAAAATATAATAAACAAAAAAAAAAAAAATTCTGTACAAATGTACGAAAATTGTACGAAATTGTATGATCTCATCAAAATGCAACTGTACTAAATTGTACTAAGTACATCATACAATGTATGAGTACTGTACTTGTACGACATATCGGCGGATTTGTTCACCCTCTAATTAACATATTTATTTTAAGGTACTTTTATTACACAAATTATTGCATATGGCGCAGTAGGACCTGGACGAACATTAAAAAAATTTTATTTGGTTTTATTAATACAATAATTTGATAAATTTGATAAATAGTTCTTTTAAGCCAAAATACAATAAATATTATTCTTAGCAATATTGATAATATCTGTTGTGGAATCTCACTTTATACAATAGCTTCTAAATCTTTTTTGTATAAAAATCAATAATACATATGCTTACAATTTGTTTGAATATAAAAGTTCCTATTTTATCTACAGCAAGATAAATAAGAATTAATAATATGTTTTGAAAAATGCAAAAAATGGACAATTTTATGAAAGTTATTATAAAAAAAAAAATTTTTTAAATATTAAATGAGTCTTAGAATACTTTTATAAATATTCATAGCTATTGTGTCTATATAAATTTTTATTTTACTTTTTGTTTTATTAAAACATACTTACTTTCTAATAATACACATTAAAAATACTATGCAGGTGAGAAATGGGTTTTTTGTTAACGAAATGGGTTTTTTTGTGTCTATTTTACGTTAAATAATTTAAATTTTGCAAATGTAGATTTTCACTCAACTTATTATTTAGTTAAGTGATATTCAATCAGGTGATTTCATGATATTACAAACCAGTTTTGGGTGACGGATATTATGAAAATCATTCAAAATTTAGCATTATGCAAAAGTGAACAAATCCGCTGATATAGAAGATTTGGCTCGTATACCACATTTGGACAACTCTGCCTTTAACTATAGAACCAAAATTTCTTTGACCGCAAAACTAAAGAAAGACTTAAAGAAAGAAAAAAGATATTAGAAGCAAGAAACAAGAAGCAAAAAACAAGAGCAAAAAACAAAACAAAAACAAAAAGAAAAAAATAAAAACGTACCTTTGACTATAGAACCGAAAACATGAAGTTGCACGAAATAAAAAAAGATTATCTGATAAACATTTCCTTTAATATATTTTATATAAATTACATAAATTATAAAAAAAAAAGAAGCTTGCAAACCGGCTTGAATAAGCCACGGCTTGGCTTGACTTGAAATAAGCTGGCTTGATGGCTTATAAGTGCGATTCAAGCTGGCTTGGCTTATGAGGAGCTTTAGGGGATAGCTGTAACCCTTGAAATCAGGATAATCACGTGATCAGATGAATAAAGAATTGAACGAAACATGGATAAATATTTAGCTGATAAAAAAATATTTGAGATAATTAGAGCATATAATGTCATAGTTATACAATATTTAGTTATAGTTACTTATTTATAGTTTAGTTATTTATAGTTATTTATATTTAGATTAGTTATATTTAGATTAGTTATTATTAGTTTAGTTATAAATAGTTTATCATTGTATCAATAAAATGATTATATCAATGAGAATTCATTGTGTAAATGGAAATAGTTGTTACTTAAAGATGAACGGAACTAGAGATGGAAGGATTACATCATACTAGTTATAATGAGTCATAGTTTTAGAATCTTATGGAAAATTATAGAAAATTATAGTTTAGTGAAACATCAAAATGTATAAAAAGGTTGACTTTTGACTTTGGTCAACAGCTTCCTTTTGCTCAATTTAATAAATATTAATTATTAAAAAACTATTTATAATTCAAATTGAATATAAAAGTTCTGTTAATCTGAATGTACATTATCAATTATTTAATGTTAAAATCTAAATAGGATGATAATGTTAGAAGGACACCATGATCCTTTGTTGAATGTGCGGCCTAACTGTACATACTAATTCACCATGATGCAATCCAACTATACTAATCCCTATATCTGGTTGTAGCATCCGCGATAAAATTCTTTTTATTTCTGTAGTTATAGGAATCGAACCTGTGATCTCACCATACTTAGGCTATATGAGGAATACCGCTATCTTAACAACTGCACTATGGTAACTAACTCTAGTTAGTTTTATTGCCAAATGTTTATGGTCAGGCCTCTTTCTACCTCTTTTTAAGGCATCATTGAACCAGTATTCAAGAAAGATAGCATTGTGTATAAGAACATTTCCCATCAGACCACTTTTAACACTAGTCAGAATAGTCTATTTTGGCAAAATTTTAAATTGCCAAATGTTGGACAAAATTCGGTCTGACCTTAGCCGATCAGTACCAAAAAAATTGGCAACTAATTTTATGGACGATTTATATCGTAACGCCTGCTACTCGCAATTAGAAATTGGCAAAGTTTCAGAATTAGTTGAAAAAAATTGGCTGTACATATCAATAAAATTTGAACCTGCCATGCAAATGAAATTCGTTATAAACAATTGACTATTCGTCTAAAAATCGATATTGATTTAAATTGCCGATTTGCAAAAATAAATAAGATCGATCATAATAATTTTGACAAAATTTAGCAAATTTAAGTTTTAAAACAGCGATTTTATTTTGATTGATTTACCAATTATTTTACTAATTAAATCAATTAATTCGTAAAAATTTCCTACAAAAATAATACTAAAATAATACGAAAATAATAAAAATTTCCTATAACAATAAGGCCAAAGAAATAAAATTATTCGTTTCTCATGAAAAAAAATTGCTAAATTTGACCCGGCTGCCCAGAAAAAAAATTTATTTTCAAAAAAAATTTAGCCGATTCCTAGATGATGATTGGTTGATTTAATAAATTTTTTGCCCAGGTCACCGGATGGAAAAAAAAATTATTTTTTTATGATTATGATTGGTCAAAACCAAAATCACATGACCAAATAAAATAAATTTTTTTATTTTTTCGTAACATTTACATGACCCGTCCGGTTATGAGAAATGAATAAATTTATTTACTTGGCCTAATACAAAAATAATACAAAAATAATACTAAAATAATACTAAAATAATACTAAAATAATAAAAATTTAATACTAAAATAATACTAAAATAATACTAAAATAATACTAAAATAATAAAAAAAATACTAAAATAATATGAAAATAATCAAATTTATACTATTTGTCTGTTTCATCTTCCGTTTCCAGCAATTCTTCCACTCCAATTGGTTCTGATTTTTTCACTCCCATTGGTTCTGATTCTTCTGTTAGTTCTGATTCTTTCATTTCCGTTAGTTCTGAATCTTCTATTACCTCTATTTCATCCATTTCCACCGACACTTCCACATCTTCTGCCATTATTAGATTTTCCATCATTTGAATCAGCGTTTCTGGCTCAGAAAAGTCAGTATCAGCCAGCATATTCTGCTCCACATAGGTCCAATTTGGAGCACCTCGTGGATGATGAGAAACGATATTATATATTTTTTCATCATAATTTCGCATTCGTATCAGTTGTGCAGATTGAAGAAAGAAAGCGTATTGGTCCAAGATATTTCGTAATAAATCTATTAACTATTATAAGAAAAAAATAAAACAAATAAAAATAAAAAATAAAAATACGACAAATAAGTTATTGAACCTCTTCAGATCTCCAAGACGGATTATAAACATTGATATGTCTTTTACCGTCTGGTTGCTCTTCATCTGATTCAAAATACTCTGGAGAGTGATATCAGTTATCGCTTAAAACATTCAAAAGTTCTTTTTGATCATAATTTTCCAGTTTTTCGTCATTTTTGTTGAAAAGCGATTTTGTGCTTTTAACTCGACATGCTTTTTTCTATATTTAAAGTTTTAACGAATGATGAGATTTTTTTTTTGAAATAATAAAGAAATTATTTACCTCATTTAACCGATTGTTTCAATGTAGACGACGATTATCTTTGTCTAAAGTGCCGCGTTGTTTATATAACAAACGCACTCTGCAATATTTATGTAAAGCGGTAAGCCAAGATTTGACTTGCCTGTATCGTGAAGTATACCTTGGCTTTATCACTTCAATTAATCGAGGTATAATCTGTCAAAGAATTTCATCATTTGACTCACTGCTAAACTTTTCATCGTATATTAATTTTAGTTCAATTAGAAAAGTTTTTAGAATTATCTTCATCTCAGCTTAAATTGAACAAAATATCGGTTTAGCGAATGTTAAAAGCATACATTAAAAGAGGATTTTTGGACGAACCCTAGCTTCTTCTTCATCTACTTCCATTTCATCTCCAGAATCGTGCATCGTATTTTTTCCTTTTCTACGCTTTATTGGTCATTGATCCTCTTCAAATTCGATATCTTGAAGGTCAGATGAACATCGGTGATACAAGCCATCATTTTTCTGGTAGTTTTTTTACTACACCAAAACAAACTGAAAGATTAATTGAAGCTCAAAAAAATTTGAGAAGTATCCAACAAGAGGTAAAATTTTAGTATTAAAATTGTTGTACCAATGGATTTTTTCATTGTTTTTTAATTTAATTTGTTAAATTTATTAATTTAGGATTTAAGTGAGAATGATCATTACCTTTGAATTATTTCAGACATAAGCACATGATGGAACTCAACTTTCCTTGCATGGAAGCGACTAGAAAAAATCCGTGATTGTATTAATATAATGACAATAACTATGTCTAGAGATTCAGATCCTATGACATAAAAAGATGGCCAAAGACTTAGTAAAATTAATCTTAGTAATAATGAATGAATTGCAATCAAACAACTGATTGATGTACTAGAGCCTTTTGCATCAGCAACTAAACTTTTTGAGGGAAGCAAATATGCAACAATAAGTTTTATGAATGATGTAATTACAGCAATTAAGAATGGAGTTCAAAGTACTCATCAAAATGTGGAGCCTAATATTGATTTCACTTATCCTACTTTGATGATGATATTGGTATTGAGAATCCTGATGATGATGATGAAGTTGATGATTATCCAAAACGGTGAAAAATTTTAATAAATACTCTACAAGACTGTAAAGATTTAACTGAAAAGGTTAAACTGGCTTTACATACAGCAATAAACTATTATTGAATTGTACTTCAAAATGAAGGGATGATAGCTACACTCTTAGACCCTAGATGCAAATCTCTTAATTTTGCAAATGAATCACAAAAAAACTAAACAAAAGCTCTTTTCAGAGAAATTTATAATGAAAAAAGGCAAGAATTAAGTACAATTCAGCAACAACAATCATTATCACCTGATAATACTATTAATTCACTTCTTCAGGATATATTTGCCAATCGTTGTCATCGTGAAAGACAAGATGAAATTGATGAATATATAATGATTGAAGAAATTGATGTCAGCATTTGCCCATTCAAATGGTGGGCATCACAAGAATCACAGTTTCCAATTTTGTCACAGTTGGCAAAAAAGTATTTGGCTATCCCGGTGACATCTGCTACCAGTGAGCATTTGTTCTCTGATGCAGGAAATATTATGACGATTAAGCGTACCAATTTATCACCTTCCACTTTTGAGCATTTAATTTTTTGCAAACGAAATTGGCATTTGATTGGTAGGATTTTTCCAGAACTTTACAAAAACTTAACATTTTTAATCAATATAGAATCGATATCGTTAAGTTTATTTTAACGGTATCATTTTGATATCATTTTAATATTATTTCAATATAAATTTAATATCAATACGATATTGAAATAAAGTATTATCATTTCGATATTATTTCAATATTAAATCGATATCGAAATGATATCGAAATGATAATTAAAATGATATCGAAATGATATCTTTAAATTAAACTTAAAGATGTTGTTTTGATGTCATTTCTATTATCATTTCGATATTATTTCAATATCAATTTAATATTGAAATAATATCGAAATAATAATACTTTATTTTGATATCGTATCAATATTAAATCTATATTGAAATAATATTAAAATGATATCATAATGATATCACTTGAAAACTTAAAGTTTCTGTAAAAAATAATTACAATTAGGTATATCGTTAGTTTAAATGTAAATCAAAAATAAAGCAAATTAATTAGTTGAATTTTTAAATCAATAAAAATTTGCTTAGTAGGGTATTATGCAAATAAAATTTTACAAATATTAAATTCGTTTTTTTTATTTTTTATTTTTTAATTATATAACTATAAAGAAATACAATAATAAATACAGAAAAAAATTAAAAAAAATGATTAATTCTTCTGATCAGCCAGTTACTTTGATGGTTTAGATTCTCCATCAAATTATCCACTAATCTAAGTTTTTTTTTTATAAAAAATACTTATTTTTACTAAAAATTACCAAAAAAAGTGTAACAACTATAAAAAAAAATACTTTAGCTTATAAAAAAACCATTTCTAATTTTATATTATAAAAAAAAATCTACCAGTGGTTATCGGACAATCCATTAAATTGCCCAGCTGATCTTGCATTTTTAACAAAAGTAATTGAATCACTCTTTTCATAAATAACAATAGTAAAGTAAGATGCAGTCATATATGTCCCTTTTATTTTACCAAACTCATTATTTATTAATAAAAAATTTTTCTTCTGTTAACACTTGTTCCTAGTCTATTTTTTTTATCGATAACTTAATTTATACAGTTCATTCTTGTATCACTAGAAATATTAATGTACAATATACTTACTAATTACTTCAAATATCCTGGATATCCTGGATATCCGTCGGATAATACAGATATCTGGATATTATCCAGATAATCCAGATAAATTATCCGTCTATCCAGATTGAACGAATAAACTCAAAAATGAATATCCGGATTAACAGATCCAGACTTTAAGAAAAAGACCATTAGCATATTAACACATTGCATATAAACGGATTTTAACTATACAAACAGAGGAGGACATGTTTGATTTGGAAAAAAGGAAAATTTTGAAACATAATAAACAATGGGCAATAGCATTAGAAAAAACAAAACAATATATTAACCAATTTATTAGAGAAGGAAACAGGGTACTTTTGAAGGTATATAACAATACAAAAATATACAAATATAATATAACCTTTCTTTTTTTTTTATCTAAAGGGTAGTAAAAGCATTTATTTAAGCCTTATGAAATAGTGATTCTATATAATTCAATAGCTACTATTGAAGGATATAGATGAATTCCATAAGGTAATGATAGGGCACAGAAGCAATCTTATAGATGGGGAACTGGTTTGAAGTTTTAATAAATTAGTTATATAACAGATGTTTTTATATTCTTACATATAATTAATAAACTCACAAATTGCACTACTTTGGAAAAAAAAAAAAAGCTTTTACATTTGTATTTAATTTTTACTTTTCAATTTACATTAATTTATAAAAAACTAATTTGAACTTTATATATAGATAATATTAAAAAAAATAGCATGCAATTTTTCATTCAATTTTTAATATTGTTTAATTATTCATATACATAAGATTATACTAATTAATTCATGATCTGTTTCTGGAACTGGTTTTACAAATTAATTATTCCTTAAATGGCTTTTGAGCTGATTTGCCCAGAATTTTTTTTTTAAAATGTTATATAATAATGTTTTGAGTATATTGAATGATAAATTTGCATCGTCAAATATTAATATTACAAGTTTGATTAACATATACTTGCCATTTAAAGTTACGTTATTATACAAATTGGTGATATTGCCTAAAAAGTAACCAGCCAAATTTGTATTACAACCTGGCTGAAAAATAGTGTAACCAATTGCTTAAAACTGAGATCTATCAAAAATTTTTACATTGAACAATTAGTTAAAAAATTTTTTCTTTAGCGACGCTGGATTTTAACCTTTAAAAATGCCATAATTATTCAATACAAGAGGTGGGACAATCACAAAATTGATATTTTTTTATTAAAATATTATTTATATACTGGTAAATAATTTATTTAAAGGTTATAAACAAGAAAAAACAAAAAAAAGTATTAAAATTATTTATTTCTATTAAACGCAGGTTGTCTAACTTATCGTACTATATTTTGCTTATATTGAGCGATGTATTTAGTAATTTTGAATAGTTGATACTTTTGGAATGTCAGTTCTTTTACTCTAATAATTTGTAAGTTCATTTCACATTTCCTATATGCTGTATCTATTGCTCTTATCTGAATTTCCCACTAAATTAATTTGCAAAATAATTCCCTAAAATGTATTAGTAGATTTCACTGGTTTGAAGATGGATCACGAATTAACCTAGATTTTTTTTTATTTTTACCAAAAAAAAAATATAATGAAATTAACCTAATTTTTTTTATAAAATAATTTTTGCATTTATAAAAATTAGCAAGAACTCAAGAATTTTGACAATCAATATGATCAGAAATTTTTTTTTATGAACTATAATGATGTGAAAAAACTTTTTAAACTTAGAGGAGACAACTGGTATGGACTGCCAACATATAAATGCTCAACTGCAGAGATTTCAGAATATAAAGAAACAATAAATATTGTCATTAAAACTTACTAATGGTTCTGAAAACTTCTTACATTTTACTTCTAACGAAGCAGCACGAAGAGAATGTATATCAATAATTCTTCATGGAGTCGCATGTTGTTTTCAAAATTCGCTCAAGATACAATCTGAACATGAATTAGCTGAGCACTATGGACATTAACAATATTTTTTACAGTTGTCATTATGTATTTCTAATGGTACTGAACCACCTATTAAACATTTATCATCAATATAAGAGCAAAAACAGAATATTTCAAACTCTTTTTGTCATTTAATAAAGACAAATTTATTGCAGTCAATTTCAAATTTAATAAAATTTATACAAATAATGCCTAATTATGAAAGATCCTAAAATATTTTTATCATTAAACCACCAATTCAGTATAGTATTGAAAGTCTTCTTATATTGCCCATATTATACATCCCAAAAAAGTAATGTGCATTGTGATAAATTATTAATTTTTAAAGATATAATCTCAATTAGAAATAAAGATTTATTCAATATCTATACTAATACGAACAATGTAATTCAGTTACAATAGAATTATATTCAAAATTGAATTCATGATTCGATTATTGAATCAAAATTATTCCAATTATGAGGAGTGGTTGGTGTTGTTATTTCTTTCTTCTTTATCATATAATGAATCAAGGCTTAATTCTTTTGAATCAAAATCATGTAATCTAAATCCAGAAAGATAATGACAACTTAAGATTTGTTCAAAAATCCTAAGTTTTTGATTAATTTTATCGATTTTCTCATTTAAATCCTTCATTAATTGTACTTGTGATGAATTAGCAAGCGTATCATTATTTATTTGGCTTTCAATGATACTCGGTTTTTCATAGGCGATTGGTAATTTTTGATTTCTATTATAATTTTTATTTATGTTTGGTGAAGTACATAACAAATATCGTTGAATCCATCCCCATGAACGGTACTTGCCTCTCCTATATAAATATATAATTAGTAAACTTGTATTATTTATACAGTGGGTATGATTAAAATTAATTATATTATATTTACCCAAACAAAATAAACCAGGCTGTTAAAGCGTATGTTATTAAACCACCAATGGCGGAGATTAGATCTGATTTTGATTAGTATTAGGGTAGGAATAAATCAAATAACTTCTGATTACTAGTTTCTATTAATCGTAATTATCAAATAAAGTATAAAATTGAATTTACCATTTGGCGTATATAAAACTTTTTCCACATATCTTGTAACCTAATTAATATAAGATAAAATACACAGTAGAGCTAAAAGTCAATTTTTTGTTTGAAATAACTTACTAAATATGAATCCGGAGAATACAAAAATCTTGCATACGTCTCTTCATTGGCAAAAGTAGTTATAATACTACTTTGCAGATTAACAGAGAAATAGGAATGAAGAATATTTTCAACATCCAATCTTTCACTTCTTGTAAAAGAATATCTATTTATAGAATGACTTGGACCAAAAAAAGGTAAAATAGAAGACGCATTCATGTCTTCATTAAATATACCAAATATTAATGATATAGGACCCTGCACAGCATCTTTAGAAGCAAAAGCTGTTACGTATATTTGGTCGATTTCACCAGCTTTAAACAAAATTTCGTTCCTTGGTTCAAATACAAAGCAAATTCGTTCATCAAAAGTATCTATATATTTAGGTAATAAAGAGCTTGCTGTAGTTTGGCGAATGTATTCATTAGATATATCTCTTGCTATGTCTTCTCCAATTATATTAAATGTTTGTACTTGTACAGTTAATTTAGTTAAGTTTTCTCCACACACAAATGACGACCATATTGGAAAACCTGCATCTTTAAAATTTTTAAATTGTACAGAAGTTACTGGTTCCACCTCTTTTAAGTTAAACGCCACAAGTATTTTATTCATAGATATTCCTAATATAAGTCCTATGAACAAAAGAATGAAAAAAATTCTTAATAAAACTTCTTTAAAGTCTTGTTTCAACTTTAACATTATTTCTACAAATTATTATTATTACTTTTTTTTAAAGGGATTGGATGAAAAAATACAAAATACAAAAAATTTTTTATGCGTTTAGACTCTATTTATCTGTAATGATTTACCTAGCCTAATTTCCGACTGAAACGTTCCTTGTAAATCTTAAACTGTTAAACATATAAAGCAATTTTAAAAATGTTTCATCTCTAAAAATAGGCTACAAAGTTTAATTAGGCCCCTAATATACTAAGATTCGAAAAATAGTAAATTTTATTGGTTAGACGTGTATGTCACATGATTATGAATATTCCTGTATTTTTCATTTTTCTTTCTCGAGTTTTAATTTTAAAATACTTTTAACTTAATCGTAGGATGATTAAAATCTGCAATGTCTTGTGTAATTTACCCTTTTTTGTGGAGTAAATCTCCCCAAAGAAGGCGAAGATGGTTCCTCGTTATACATCTTTGACCGTGTAAGTAGTTTGCATAAGAGCTGTTGCATATTTACATAATGGCTTAGTTTTTTGATAGAGGAGTACTTGGAAACTGTTAAATTACAAATAATTTCTGTCATGAACATTCGCTGAGAACATAATTTTAAAAGAATAGAAGTGTCTAACCAATAAATTATTTCTCTGTTAAAAGACAATTATCTTTCACATGACTGCATTTTTTCCTAATATAATTATTAAGTTCAAATATATAATTTTAAAATTGGATATTTATTAAATATTAACGAAACGATCTATTGTTATAAAAAATAAAAAATATTGTTAAATATCCGTTACTTATTATTATTAGTGTTGCCGGGAGCTAAAATAAAAAATTATTATCAGGCATTTACTAATTGAGTACAACCAGTTACTTAGTTGTATAAAAAATACCTATTGCGTAAGCCTGATAAAACAGTTACTCGGCACAACGTGACCTCATAACTGCGGCACTGTCGTGCAAGAGTGAAATCTACTGAGCTGCGCTCAGTAAATCCCACCAATCATATTGCTTATTGCAAATACAACAGTTACTCGCCGAGTAACTATTAATTATTATTAGTAATCAATCAAACATGGAATAGATCAGACAGATCACAAGTTATACAATACATTTTTTAATTTAACCGAGAATTAAAAAAGTATACATTAGTAATCAAATTGTACAAAAGAGTTATTACCATATAGAGTTGTTGGAATAAAGATTTAGTAATTTACTATTAACCAATAGGGTATTGTTATTTTCTTTCTTTTTTTTTTTATTATTATTATTTGAATAATTATAACCCTATAAAAACGAAATGTGTTAAATTCATATGGGCCAATTTGTCTCATTTGCGATTATATCACATACAGGAGTTTGATCAACCATCGTATATTACATTATCACATAATGCGTAATGGCCAATCAAATAATCAAATAACAATGTCACAATTCGCTGTATACAATGACCGTAGCTTGCACTAAAATAACGTTTAAATACTTTCTCTGTCAAAAAAATTTTCCTTTACAAAAACAACTTTTAAGCCATGAAAGAACTAAACATCGCAACAATAAAAGTATAAAACTATACCCTACCGACATTACTCTTCCAACCAACTCATATCATACTAAGATGCATTTATAATTCTAATTAAAAAGTGTCTTGGTTTCAATAGACATTCTGTGGGATCTAAAAGACTTTCTATAAGCATTTTTCCCAAAAATATCTTTGTTTACTTATTTCAAAATAAACCCCTTTTCAGATAGTACAATTCAGCATTACTAAAATACCGTTGTATCTTTAAAGGTGAAGCAGGGGAACAGAGATTAAAGCAAATTCTAAATTATGAACACTGGAATTGTTGTCAAGATCTGAAGACAAATACAACTGGATATGTACTTTTTGTGAATTATGAAGGAATATATGGAGTTACTTTTAGCTGGGCACAAAATGAGTTAGTTGAAAATGACCGAATCTTTCAATGTGGTACAGTTACTTGCACTTTTACAACCAATTCAAGAGAATTTGTTGATGAGTAAGTATGAACGTAAATTTTCTAATTATAGTTAAACCAATTAATTAATTTTTTTAATTAGGAATGGAATAATATCAAGTCAAGAACATCAATCTGAAAGCCATATGCTAACTCACAACCAAAATTCTCTCGTTCCTTACAATAATCAATCAAACCCATCACACTATAGACCTATTTTACCACATTTCCCTCTTCAACAATTAGGTTCAAATCAATTTTAGAAAGGATGGCTGTTCTGTATTATATTTATTATATACCATTTTACATGTTTTGCCACTATGGCAAATTTTACTTTTTATCTATACAAAAATTATTTTACTATAAATTATTAATATCTATTTTTTTTTTTAAAAAAAAACTTTTTTAAATTTATTTAAATAACTGTTATCTTGTATATTAATATTATTACATGTCATTTCATTTGGAATATCATTAATTAAGTAAAAAATCTGTCTGTTTTCAAACACTAGTATATCATAGATAATGGGCTTTGTTTTTTTTACTACCTCCCATTGTAGTTTCTCTAAAAAATAATTTAATCTATTAAATATGAGTATTGCTAATCTTAACCAGGGAGAATTTCCTCCCCCCCTCTTGTAAAAATTTTTTTTTTAGAAAAATTTGATTGGCTAAATTAATAAAAATCTAAATAAGTATTAGCATATTTTAAACTACTATTTTTTTTTAACCATTTTATAACAAAATCAAATGTCTTTAATGATTTCTGCTTATTGCAAAATTAACGTCCATTTTTTTAGGGACTACATTTTGGACTTTGATGATTTTAATAGGTAAGTATTCGTTTCCTTATCTTTGATGGGTTTCTTTTGTTTGTTAAGATTGTTAAACATTATTCTCTTTTCATTTTTTAGGAAATATTTCTTCTTAGACTTCTCAAGATGATTTTAATAAGTAGATGTTCATTTCCTTATCTTTGGTAGTTTTTTTTTGCTTTTTAAACTTGTTAAACAGAAATAACGTCGTATTCTCTTCTTTTTTTTTAGGAATTGCTTCTTCTTGGACTTCTTGGGCGATTTTAATAAGTAGGTATTTGTTTCCTTATCTTTGGTGGGTTTTTTTTATTTATTAAACTTGTTAAACGAAAATAACATTGTATTCTTTTCTTTTTTTTAGGAATTACTTCAGTCTTCTTTATAATAAATAGGTGTTCATTTCCTTCTCTTTGATGGATTACTTTTGTTTATTAAACTTGTAGTTAAACGGAAATTAACGTCTTATTCTCATTTTTTGAGAACTATTTCTTAGACCTGAGATGATTTTAATAAATGATGTAATCCACTTTCAGCGTTAAATATCAGATTTATAAATTATTAAGATAAAGATAAAGGATTATTAAACCATTTGATTAGCGTGATTAGACTAGATGCAGAGAGTTGATTAGATACGATTAATGAAATTGGAATTAGCATAGAAGGACAGATAGGTAGGTAATAGTTTCCATGTCTTTATTGGTTTCCTTTTGTTTGTTAAACGATATTAATTGTATTAATTCCATCTTTAGGAATGATATTCTTGGACTTATGACAATTTTTTTAATTTAATTAGATAATTTTTCTTTCTCCTATAATAATGTTCTTTTGTTTTTGAAATGACATTAACATTTTAATTTAATAGCATAATTTCAGTAAATAAATGTATTATATAGTTAAGGATAGTATATATCTATTGAGAATTTAGTATTATGAGGAAATCTGTTTGTTGTATAATTTAGATTTTAATTTCTCTTGTAAAGTAACAAATATCAATATTACTTTGTATTAAGTTGATTTATAACCGATGCAAGTAATAAATATCAATCTAATTTATTATTGCAAAAGAAAACTTCGTATTAAATTGATTTATAACCGATGCTTCACATTACTTCTAAATAATTTTTAACCAGTAAATTTACAGGTTGTACGGTTATGCCCTTTTTGCCCACAATTTTGACAAGTTTTTCTATTACCCCTGCTATTACCTATTAATTGAGTTCTATTGTTACCTTTTTGAACATTAAGATTAATTGATTTTAAACAATGTTTTCTGCTTTCCTTATTTTGAATTTCAACAGCATTTTTTACCCTTCCTGGTGGCCTTTCCTTTTTAACTGTAATAATTGGATTTACTAAGTCTAATTCTTCATTATTTAATATCTCCTTTACCTGATTTTGATCTAAAGTATTCTGCTTTCTAACCAAAAAATCTTGACATATGCCAATTAACTCTTCGTATGAGTTTGTAGCAAATGCTAAATTAATGGCCTTTTTCAGCATACCATGTACATGCCCATATTTTATACGGTTATTATTAAGTTCTTGAAGGATTGAAATATACAATTTGCTGCCTCTTATTTTTGTTATGTGTCCTAGATTAAAGTGGTATTATTAGTTGCATTATCTTCTAATGAACAAATACTAATAGGAGCTTATTGGGTTATAGAATTTAATGTAATTTTATCATCCTTATACTAACGACTAGAAATTAGTCAATAAAAATAAAACAATATATTATTAGAACTGCATTACAATTTAACTATCTGTAAAACCTGTATTATTTGGCAATGGAACTGTTCAAGAATTTTTGGGTATTGAAGACGTTAATACATTAGGATCTGATTTTTGATTGTTTTTAATTGTAATTTTTCCAGTTTTTTTGGAGAAAAATTTATCTAAACGCCAAGATTTGCAATATCTCTCACTTGAATATAACCAGCATACTCTCCAGTAATTGGCCATAACTATTCAAACCAATTTGAAATTCCAGGTAATTTGTTTCTCTTTTTTTCAGGTTCTATAAAGAAACAGTTTGAGAATTTCTAATAAACCTAGCTGTATAATAATTTAACTTTTAATTTACAACCTTTTGTTCTATCTGGTTCCAGGTAAGATACTGACATTCTGCAAATTTCAGATATTGTGTGCATTTTCAATATCTTTTTCTGATAATATATTAAATCCTAATTTTACATATCGATTAATAGAATGTGCAATCTATTTCAAACATAAGGTAAACTAATATCATATAGTTAATTCTTGCTAATAGATATTATTTATCAAATAGAAAAGTATGAACAAACCTGAGCATAATAACTGTTAATAATTATTTTTGCCTCCTCTGGCTCAAGAAATATCCATTTTTTTAGTTAAATACCATACCAATCTTGCCAATATCTCAGAATTATCATCAAACCTGCATTATGATTTATAATAATGACCTTTATTGTCTGAAATAATCATAACCCATTCTGATTTCTTGTTTATAGATTCAATAACAGCATGAAAACTAGAAGCAGTGAACCAAACATCTTGACGTAGATCATTGGAGTAGTGGTCGTATGCTTGGATGTCAAGTTCAAGAGAATCTTTCTTGTGGATATATACCGCCAATATTGAATAAAAAGTCCAGCTTTTTTTTCCAAAAAACTGTTCTTTTGTCTCTTGTGCACTTTTAAGTAATACTTTCATTTTATAATCTACGACAATAAGTCAATAAGTGCTCCTTTTTCATCTAACTCTAACAAATTTGCATTGAATTGTGTGTTCAGGTATACTTTTTGTGTTTGATAAGTAAAATAGTACAGGAGGTATTCCTGATATTTATCTAATTCATTATGCAATGTAATTGGAGTATCATTTTTCAATTAATAAAAAATTGCAAATAATTGTCCACATGGGTGGATTTGAAGGAAAAGTGGATGCTGGTGATCGGCAACACATTCGTGGCTATGTGATTCTATGCAGGTACTAAAGGCGTATGGGAGATAATGGCTAATACATGCATTATAGGCAACAGTTCCATTCATAACAATTTCAAGATTTTCTTGATAAATATATTGTTTTCCTTGCAAAAACATCATAAAAGATGTTCTTTTAACACCATCTGGAAATTGGTAGCTGAATTTTTCCCACAAAGATNGCGTATGGGAGATAATGGCTAATACATGCATTATAGGCAACAGTTCCATTCATAACAATTTCAAGCTTTTATTTGTAAGACTTTTAAGATATCAGCGCAAGTGCTCAAGTTTATTTATATAGTCTTTTTAGATTACTATTTATAAAATAAATCAAAATAAATAAACCAACTTAAATAAAATAAATTGAAAAAAATTTTACTTAAAGATTGTTGTTTTGAATATTTTTTTCAATAAAATTTTTCATTTTTACAAAAATCTCATATCCATAACAACTGCAAATTAAACAAAAACTACCAAGATTTTCTTGATAAATATATTGTTTTCCTTACAAGAACATTATAAAAGATGTTCTTTTAACATCATCTGGAAATTGGTAGCTGAATTTTTCCCACAAAGATTCTTTTGTATATTTGAGATATTTTACTGGAAGTCCATCAGTTTTAGTTTCTGTTTTATAGCTACTTATTATCACATTGTTTTTATCATTCAAAAATTGTTGTAACTGATCAAGTTTTTCACATGAAATTGTTGTTTGTGTAAAAATAGGTTTTTCAACACATTCTGCATCTGGTCCATAGATTTTTGTATATTTGTGTGCCTCATTAATCGTATCTGATGAAGAGATCTAATAGAAAAAAAAAACAATCTGAATTGAACTGAAATACTAAATTTTTATATGAAAATATTACTAACATTCAAATTCTTTTTAATTTCACAATATGGAAATATTTCTGCAACAATAGACAAAATGTGCCTTTTTCCATCTTGATCTCTTTTATTTGCATTCAATGATTCATGAATACAATTCCATAGAGTTCTTGTTTGATCACAAAATTTTTTCATTACAGGATTATGAAGAAAATCAAGATCATGTAAAATTTGTAACGTTAGTCTCATGATCTTTTTCTGAATTTACTGATCTTATCCAAAATTTAAACTGTAAATATTAAATAATTCAAATTAGATAAATATTTTTTTGGAATTATTGCTTAGTATTAATTAATATGTCCATTTCTTACCTCACTTTGATTTTTATTATAAGGTGTAATTTCTACATAACCCATACACTAGTCGAAATAAGGCAAATCGGACATGTGATAAATCAGCTGAAAATCAAACTAAATTCAGCTAAAATTCAGAAAATTTACACAATTCAGCATTTCCGATTTATAACAATCAGAAAATTTACAAAATTCAGCATTTCCGATTTAAAACAATCAGACAATTTACACAATTCGGCATTTCCGATTTATGACAATAAAAATTTGACATTTAATTTAAAATTAGCATATAATAAAATCATTAAACAATATAAATTACGAACTTTAATTAAAGTTAATTCTTATTTTTCCAAACCCAATAAATCCGGATAAATCATAATAAATATAATAAATCATAATAAATTTGACATTTAATTTAAAATTAGCATATAATAAAATTGTTAAAGTTAATTCTTATCCTTCCAAACTCGATCAAATACCAATAAATCCGGATAAATCATAATAAATCCAGTTTTAATCTATAAATTGACAAATAAGAATCTATTAGTGAATATGGTATTTTCTATTTATTTGATTTATGGCTAAATACTCTCTTGCATTCCTTTGGTCTGAAATTCGGTAATTTACTGGAATAAATCAACTAAGAATATGATGAACTGGAATAATACAATCACGTGACTCTTGATAAAATTCAGTGCACCATAGCTCAACATTACAAGTATTAATGTCATTATCACTACTGAAATAATATCGAATATTTCTAGAGCCTGCATGTTTATACCATCAGACATAAGCCAAAAAATGCTCGGCAGGACCATTCAGAAGGTCAACTGTATGAGTAAAATAATATTGAACTTGATCAGGGTAAACGTCAATATCATTGTCAATCGTTATAAATTTTGCCGTAACAAATGAACTTTTCACATGACAAGATGACATTTTTGAGCCGAATATTTCAGAACCAATTCTGCATCTTCCGAATTGATTCATTCTGACGCGAATAATAATTGAATCTTTGGGTTCTTCTCCAAATGGTTTTCGAAAGTTATTTGCTGGGTAGGTCGCATTATAATAATCTATCATTATGTCAAGCATTTCACTTGACATTATAACTTTTTCCAAGAAAGGGCCTAGCATTTCTTCTGGAAATGCTTCGCATCCAGCAATTAGAGATTCTTTAATATTTTGCGAGTATAGCAAATATCGCTTCATTTCAACTGAAGTAAATTTGTCGGGTTTTGAAATTGAACTGATTGAAGGTCTGGTATCAAGTATATCGAGACCTTTTGTATCAACTATTCCAGAACTAACAATATTATTAATTTGTTTATCGTTCATAATTCGGCGCATGAGCTCTGGTTCAATTTTCCGATGGCTATTAGGCAAAGAACCTAAAAAATAAATAAAGGAATGGAACTTAAAATTAATTTTAGAAGAAAAAGGATATTTTTAGAAGTCAGCATCTTACCTAGCACACCTAAGGTTGCTTGCCGAAACCTAGGGGTTTAGGCAAGATGGCGTTTCGCCAAAAAGCGAAATTCTGCCAAAACTATATTAAAGTTATATTAAAAAACTGGCGAAACTTTGGAGAAAGGCGAAACTGCCAAAACTTATTATAAATGCCGAAACTGCTGAAACTCTGCCAAAACTATAATAAATCTATAGTAAAATTTTGACGAAACTAATCGTAGGATTTTGAAGAGGTTTAGACAAGCAACCTTAAGCACACCATTCATGCGCTCAAACAAAAAACACCAAAAAGCGTAAAGAGGCCCAAAATCTTTTGCACATTCGTATAAATGGAGCAAAAGATGAAGGTTTAGAGTTATCATATCTCAACCGTAATTTTGCTCAATTATTTTTACAATTTCAACCAATTTTTGGTGAGCTTCATCCATTAAATTGGATTGAACAATTCATCCTACCAAAATCGAGCAAATTCTTACAAAGCATATAAGAATCTTCTTATCTACGCCAGGAAGGTATTTCCAAAGTGACACTATGGCATAAATGTTAAAAAATATTTACCACTGATCAGCCGTAAAATTCGCAAAACCTTCGCCACATTCTACCTTTCCTGGGATTCTACCTATGTCAGCTAGTACTTGGAATTGATTCATTTTCTTTTGAATTTCTTTTAGAGTTTCCAGTTTTAATATATTTTCATCAACCCAAATCCGCTTAATAATCCACTTTGCAATGCCTAAGAATAGGCAGTGCATTGGATCAATTGATAAAAACTGAATTGGGTCGAAATATAGCAATCTCAACAATTCAGACCACCTTACGCCAGTAGTTTTTACAAAGCGATTCCTTGCAGCATTTGAATTGCAGCGACGCCATCCAAAAGCATTCTCGCAAAATTGTGCCGAATCTCGATTGATAAACCATTCGCTCATATTATCCATTCCAGTGAAATTATGTTTATGATTTTCGTAATTTGCTTTCTTCTCACATCTATAACACGATAAAAGGGCTGAAATATGCCCACATATTTTTCTTGTCACAGGAATATCACAAAACGAGTATCAGTGCCGCTCGAATTTTTCTTGATTCTTGGTACTCAAAAGTGTTATCAAACATCACTCCGTCCCAAAGTAATACTAATTCATTAACAATTGGCGCCAAATAATGGTTAATTTGGTGGAGACTCACTTCGTTTGGGTTGGGCAACAAACCAAGAACCAATATATTTTCACGTTCAAAATGCATATCCCGTGGTAGATTACAAATTGTGGTATATATTACTCCAGTACTATGGACAACACCATCATATGGTTGAAACCAGTCGAGATTCAACATTAAACCAAGATTAGAATCAGCCACTTCAGGTCAAAAAAATTTTGACGAATTTTCATCGCTTGTTTCTTTAAAATTTTCTAGACCTGACCATCATAGATATCAGTTAAAATATCATCAAATCGTTTGCGTTCAGACCAGTGACGTAAGTTTCTTTCAAATCCCAGCTGGCAATACATTGATGCTAATTGATTTCTGATACTAGCAAATGGAAATATCTTCTCAGATCAAATTTTAATACGGCCATGTAATAACATTGATCTTTCTGCTAAAGGCATCTGGCATTGTTTTAATCTCCTAGATGTCGAATTAGGAAATTCGACATGACTACACTTCATAACTGTAAGATTTCCATTTTGCTGAAATTCTTATACTTCCTTTTTATTATATAATTTGTGGCATTTCAGACATGCCGCAAAGTTATGATGTTGATCTTTTAGCCCAAGAACATTTCTTGCTAAGTATAAAAAGCCAGAAAATTCTTCAAAATTAGAACCGCCAATTTTTATCAATAACAGCTTTATGAATTGAATAAGCGTTTCTGTTGCTGTTTCTGGAATATTAAATCTTTTGCGAAAGCTCATTATCCACAGCAAAATCCACAAAAATTGTCTATTGGCATTTGTGTCTAGACTAATTCGATCTTGAAATTGCTCATAAACAGGTGGCGCATAATTCTCAAAAATTTCAGTATACTCATAATCATTATTATCGCCATTATTGATTTCACTTTCATTTGATTCTTCATCAGTTTCGCTTGATTCTTCATCAGTTATGAATAATTCTGGAGGAATTTCTTCTTCGGTAATTGTTGCTTGTTGATTTGCGTATCTTCTCGAATGTTGTCGATGAAGTAAATCAGTTGATAAGTTGTCTATTTCCTCTATTTTCATTTGTTGAATTACGTTTTGATTATTATCTGAATCTTCGTCAGATGATACTGGGTTATCTTCTGGTAAAGGATTACCATAATCTTCAGATGATGATGGTAAAGGATTACTATAATTTTCAAATGATGATGGTAAAGGATTACTATAATCTTGAACAACTTCCGAATCTTGGTCATCATCCGAATTTCTATCAGCCTCATGGTTCAATTTTGTACGAACATCTACTATTTTTCCGTTACATTTAGAACAATTGCAAGGAACCATTCTTCTGTCATGTGTATGTATAATTGAAATTGATTCTTCAGATTCTTCATCAATTACTCTAGAGATCACTCTACTTTTACGAGAAGAGCAAGCTGTAATTGATTCTTCATCATTGCTAAGTAAAGCAGAAACTAATCTCTTTCGTCTACTCATTTTATGAAATAAAAAATTTACAATATTTATCTCAATATATTTTTAAATAATATCAATTTAATTCTTTTTAAAAAGTAAATTCCTGCTGCGCTACAAAT